CTTTTTACATATCGGCCCTCAATGCGATTCATGAAACAGGTTTGTAAGTTTTCTTTTTATTTATTTAGTATTTGTAAATGTATTATGATTTTACCAATTGTTTCCAATTGTTTGGTAGAGGCCTATATTTAAAAAAAACTGTGGGGTCGGTCAAAATAAATAACATTGATTGTTGTTATTATTGCCCCAAAGACATAACAAATGCAGAAAAGTGAGGAAATTAAAGGTATTAAATGTCAAACACAGCTGTTACTATAATGAAGGCCACATTCCATTCAGGTGTGTCAGTTTCAGATAGTATATATGAGGCTATACCTTTATGGCTTAGTGGCAAACCTAACAGAGGATATCATTAATATTATTAATTACACACCTATGCTTTTCCCGTGGTGAAGACCTTCTACTGCACAGGCTGCACACAATCTTAAATAAGCTCAGACTGTATGTTAAAGAAGTCATTTTAATAACATTCACACCACAAATTACTGCCATTCATTTAGCATTTTGTGACAGTCCTGCAGAAGAAAAACATACATTCCTATCTGCATGTCAGCTCCAGTTAGAGGACCTTTACATGAACACAAAGGATTTCTTTGAATGCTTAAGTCTTAGAACAGAGACATTAAGGCCAGGGTCCCTCCTCAGCTGATTGGTCCTTTAAAAAAAACAGCTAAAATATCCTATCCACCTCCCTCCTTCCACCTGATGTCATAGCCAACAGCTCCTCTCATTGGTCAAGGCCACAGCCCGCCAGCTGTTTGTAATCAGGAGCATTTGGGAGTCAGGATCACATGACACCCTCAAGGCACACATGCGCACATAGATATATACATACAGGGTGCAGTGCATCTTTAACCTCGTACCCTTCCCACAGGCTACTCCTTTGCAGTCAGAATCACCTCCAGATGTGCACACTGTGTTCTCACCTTAGGATAAAAAAAACGGGGGAGGGGTGGAGTTCAATGAAAATGGAAAGAGCTCCAAGAGATTGGGAGTAAGGTAAAAGAGTGAGGAAGGAGGTTTAGACACCGCATGTGGTTAATCCCCTGGATCCGGGGCTGGGGTCAGTGTTTGTCTTTCTTAAAATTATGATATAGTCTTAAATTGAACTATTAGGAGGACAAAGTCCTCATAATCTACTTGAAAGAATTGTGACTCTGCTGCCACCTAGTGGACCAAGTCATTCAATATACAAGCTTGAACAAGTAAACACATCTCTTACTGTCCAATCAAATGATATACCCAAAGAAGACATGATGCAAGAAGTAAAACAGTAGTTCAGTTCATTTCAGCTGTACTTATTTATTTTCCATTTTCCATAATCAAAATTAAATTACATATACATATAAAACATGTAGAATTATTTTGCTCAAGACTGATCATTCAGTGGTTGAATAGACAAGGCGTTGGTCTTTTTATGGCTCCAAGACTATAAGATTAAGGTTACTGCAGTACAGCCTCCCACTTTCTAACATCTCTCTCTCTCTCTCTCTCTCTCTCTCTCTCTCTCTCTCTCTCTCT